TCAGGTTTAGGGGTGGTGGGAGATTCAGCCTCTGTTGTTGGCGCCTCAGTTGCCTCAGGTGTTGTGTCTTCAGGTTTTGGGGTGGTGGGAGATTCAGCCTCGGTTGTTGGTGCCTCAGTGGCCTCAGGGGTTGTGTCTTCAGGTTTAGGGGTGGTGGGAGATTCAGCCTCAGTTGTTGGTGCCTCAGTTGTTGGCGCCTCAGTTGCCTCAGGTGTTGTCTCCTCAGGTTTAGGGGTGGTGGGAGATTCAACCTCGGTTGTTGGTGCCTCAGTTGCCTCAGGGGTTGTGTCTTCAGGTTTTGGGGTGGTGGGAGATTCAGCCTCAGTTGTTGGTGCCTCTGTTGCCTCAGGGGTTGTGTCTTCAGGTTTTGGGGTGGTGGGAGATTCAGCCTCGGTTGTTGGTGCCTCAGTGGCCTCAGGGGTTGCGTCTTCTGTTGGGGGGATGTTGGTAGAGTCCACTTCAGTCACTGGTTCCTCGGTGGCATCAGGGGTCATATCTTCTGGCTTCTCCGTGGTGGGAGGGTCTTCTTCAGTCACTGGTTCCTCAGTGGCCTCAGGGGTTGTGTCCTGTTCCTTTGGGGTGGTGGGTGGGTCTGTCTGGGTAGTCAGTGGCTCTGTGGCTGCAGGGGTTGTCTCTGCCGGTTCTGTAGTTGGAGCAGGAGTGGTCTCTGGGTTTTCCAGTCCAGTGCCAGGATCTATAAGGTAAATACAAATGAGTTTCAGCCATTGGCATTGCTGTGCATGTGGCTGTGGTGTATAAATGTATTGCACATCTGGGCAATAGGGAGTATTGTTGAATACCTGTATTTTTTTAGAAGGGCAAAACTCCCCTGGGCAGGGTTCCACAGGAGTCCCTGTGGTCCCTGGGGGACTGTGCAGCAGCCTGGCTCAGTTGAAGTCATCCCTTTGCTAAGCTGTGTCTGCCCCAGGGGCTGTGCTGCAGGGTTTGGTTTGGTGCTTGTAGGTGAGGCTGCCTTCTGGTTCCTGCCTTTTCCATGCTCTGAAATACAGTTCTTCTAACAAGGCACTGCCCTTCTCAGTCTGTTATTTTGATTTATCCCACTGTCCTTCAACATAACTTTACACCGATGAGCTGAACTTGGAGGAGAGAGGTTGGGAAACAGGAGGAAAGTAATTCCTGAATACAGAACCCTGACTGTATCTCCTACTGTGTCTTTATATCTTGGATGGTTTTCCTCTTTGTGATTTATGGCTTTAAGATTCTCTTTACTTGTATTTATAGTTACATTGACTTGGGTCAAATTATTTATGTTCGGCAAAAAGGAACAGTAAATGTTTCTGCATTTCAATCTTCAAGTATTCTCTCTCTGAAGTTTTGCTGTTTAGCTCTGTTTTCACACAGGTTTTGTGTTTGGTATGAGCAGAGCATTACAGAATAGGTTTTACTCCCACCCAGCAAGTCTGAAATACCATAAGCCAACTGGCATTCTGCTAATGGTTATTTGAATTTCCTTCATTTTCTTTCATTTAACCCAGTATATTGATCTTTTTTTTTTTTAATAGGAAATTGCAACAGCAGAAGCATAAGTACTCCAAATTTAAAACAATTAAAAAAAAAACAAAAGGGGAGGTGTGTTAAAATATTGACCAGCCAGTACTGACTTCTGGTCTCATTTCATTCTTCTTACTTCAGGTTTCAAGTTCAAACTGATCTCCTGAGTTATCACTTCAAATGCTGAAACACAATACCAGAGAACACAGCAAAGCAACATATTTTCCAGTCAGAAAAAAACAAATCAAGTGTTCTCTGAAGTTGCATAAGGCCTGGCTTGATTAAAGCTAGAGAAACCTGCTAGGACACTTTCCTATCTTGGTCCTGACAGTTCCTCACTGTCCCAAAATACAACACCCTTCCTGTTCCAGCCATGGACCTTGTCCAGAACTGACAACGGTCTGTTACACATTTTGGGAAGATGTGTGTGAAAATCCATCAGAGACACCGGAGACATCACCACACTCCACCATCTGTGCTGGGTGAACTCTCCCAAATCCTGAGGGCTCGGTGAGGTAATCAGTTTATAAACCGAGTGCTTCCAAGCTTGGTAACTGTCTGGTAATGTCTAGGATTGGCTTCCTATTTCCAGAGCAGGAAAATGGTCTTTAATGTTCCTTCAGGTAACGCCCATCCTGTTCCATCCATACCCTTGCCTACCTTCCGCAGCTTCCTCTGGCGGCTTTTCCTCATCGGTGGATGACCTTTTAGATGTCGCTTTGTTCTCGGGGGGAGTCTCTGGGGCTGGCTTTTCTGTGTGTGCTGAAAGAGATAAATACTCCCATTAACAGGTTGTTTTTTCTTTGTGGGTACTTGGTGTCAGCTGCCTGAGAAGACAGTGATTACAAAATGGCAGTGACCATCTTCCATATAAATCTAAGCTTCTTCCTATCTATAGGATTCTTTACACTGTTATTTATATGAAAATGTGCAAAAATACCCTTTGGATCCCCAAATGTTTCATCACATATGGGAGTGTTGTTTTACCCAGAAATTTGAGGTGAGGCATTCTTGGCTAATGGCAATTTTGAGGTGGGAAAAAGGTGAATTCTGAATGGAGTTCTACATTCTGAAAATTTGTCTTTTTTTTTTTTTTTTGACTACAGATGACTTGGGACTAAGTTGCTATAGTGGAACTTGAAGAGTTGTCATGTTAGCCAAGCATTTACTTTGATAATCCCCTAAAGATTCAGTTACATTGTAGTTCTCCAGATGTGATAATTCTACACAAATGATCTTTTTTGAGAGACATCTCAATAGAAATAGTTCTCTTGAAGGAGACAGGCATGGACCAAAGAAAAAACACAAGGTATCAGTATTAAGCTAACTTCTAGTAGGCTGAGTTTTAGGAGAAACAGGAAGTTGTGTTCAGATTTTCCAGCTCTGAAAAGTGTGTGGGGTTTCACTTGCAACCAGTAAGAGCCAGATAACATTTTGTAATTAATTGTTGGGTCAAATTGTACAATTGGAAATGAGCTACTAGCTTAGGCTTGTAGAACTTGTTAGTTGTGAAGGAAGTGTGCTGGAGCTCAAGGAACTGGCTGAATTTTTTTATCCAGCTGAAGGAGTTGGTAACTGCCAGAGGTGTGTCAGCTTTTGATGAAATGAATGGGATTTTTTTGTCTCAAAGTGATGACCATGGTGTCAAAGGATTTATTTTCACAGCAAACTCAAAGCAAGGAAGGTTGGGTGTTGGACTATATCCTGGAGCTTTTATTGAGGGACAAAAACTGTGGTTGTTGAATAAAATCATTTTGGGAGCTGAACTGGCTTTCAGAGCAGTCAGTAGTGGTGGAGGGGAATGTTTTGGTTAGTCCTTAGCTGTGCATGTGTGTATTCAGGGGATAAGGGGCTTCTGGAGGGTAGGGAAGGTAATGGTGATATCTAGATAGATGATGTACATTTGACTTTGCTGTACAGAACAAAATGTTGAGAGGATGCTAAAACAGCAAATCTATTCCAAGAGGTTTAGCAGGTTTCTCAGTTATTCACACATAATATAAATACTCAAATATTGAGTACAGTGGTAGGCTGGCTTTGA